ATAATACTGGGCACATATAAGGCCTTCAAGAAAGGTGTCTCCCTCCCTCTCTGCTCTGATGATCCTGTGTATTTGGAATTTTCTCACCATGTTGAGATTTCAGCTGTCCTCAGTTTCCTGGTGGGAAAGATACTGTGAAACAGAGTTTGCATGCAGGAAGTTTATTAGGAAGTGCTTTCCAGCAAAATGCCTGCTTCTTTGTTGCTAGGTTTCTAAAGTCACTTGGGCTGCCCTTAGCAAAGCCCTGTTCGAGCTGTACATATTCAGCAGTTTTTGGATTTAAGCTGGAAGGATAACAATTTGCTTTATCACATCAGGAACTTTTCCAGGAAGAAAGAATAAGCATATATCTGTGGCTATGTAGTTTCAAGGTGACCTATCGCAGGAAAGCACTTGACCATGGTCAACTATTATTTATTGAAAATATGTTGCTATCACAGGAAAGCACTTGACCATGGTTAACTATTGTTTATTGAAAATATGTTGCTTACCAAAGATTTTAGAATATCATTTTTTACTAAAAACTGATTAAATTTTAATTTATTTATTTTTTTTTTTGCAAGGAGAAAGAATAAAAGTAAATGACTCATTAGGACAAGGAATGCATGCAGCAAAAAAACATCTAATGTGGCTAAGATCTACTAGGAACAGAATCCCAGGAGACCTGGCAAGAAATTGCACTCCCTCAAGAGTAAGTCTCAAAAGCTGGAAAGTAGTGAGGTAAGGGCCCTGAGCCGAAGCCAATTAGTACTTGGTAAACAAATCGGATCATTTTGCTTTCTGCCCAATTTCAGGCCCACCTTCTGAGCAGCTCAGATGAGAGATCTTAAGAAAAAAAAAAAGTTCAAATTCCCATAGCGATTCAGTTTACAAAGTGGCTTCTATTTGATTTGTGGAGGAACAGCCTGTGTTTTGTTTTGTGTCAGAGCTTCTGAATGGCAATTCCAGAAAAATGTGCTGAGTCATGAATCCCTAAGGAAACAAGATTTTGACAAGAACAGGCAAGTGCTGTGACAGTTATATGATTGGGGATAACAGAGGCTCATTATTCTTCTAAACGAAGCCCTTTAATTCAAACATTAACCCCACAGCTGTTCCCCGAACACTTGATGCCTTCCTCAGCTACAGGGAAGCAATACACTTAAGAATGATGACAACAAAAATAATAATAGCTAATATTGTATCAGACATCTGCCATGTACCAGGTATATATATGGGTGATCCTATTTAATTCCCACAATTATGTGTTTTATAATTTGATAATTATGTGTTTTATAATTCCCACTATGATGTGTTTTATAAATGAGGAAACTGAGATTCTGAGAGGCTAAATAATTTGCTCACGGTCACCTGGCCACAGGGACAGATAGGCAATCTGGTTGTGGAATCACAACCTTAACAAGTATGTACACTGTAGTCCCAAGTATTTTCCATGCATTAATAGAGCACTGATCATTTTAACTGATGGTGCTTGAACTCCTTATTCCAAGAGGGATCTTACTAACTGGCATCCTTTAGATTCAATTGACTATATAGCAGATGGTTCCAAGATGTTTTTTTTTTTTAATTTTGTTTTTGAGGTAGAGTCATTCTGTCACCCAGGCTGAAGTGCAGTGGCACAATCTTGGCTCACTGCAGCCTCCAACTCCTGGGTTCAAGTGATTCTCCTGCCTCAGTCACCCGAGTAACTGGGATTACAGGAATATGCTACCATGCCTGGCTAATTTTTGTACTTTGAGTTGAGATAGGGTTTCACTATGTTGATCAGACTGGTCTCCAACTTCTGGCCTCAAGTGATCCACCTGCCTCAGTCTCCCAAAGTACTGGGATTACAGATATGAGCTACTGCACCCGGCCGAAGATTGTTATTAATGAAGGAGAAAATATATGGCACTGCTAATGTGAATCAGGTGTTTTATGTGTTCAGTATAATATTCCTTCTAAGAGAAAATAAAATGTCCTTTGTTTCAAAATGGAGCTCCCCTTTATGTCTGGAACATCCTGAGTTGGGATAATTCTCTACCAATTGCTAAGCGCTGAGGCTACCTAAGGTCATGGGACTGGTCCGCTGACACATATATTCAATCATGACCTCCTAGTACCAGAACTCCTGGTTCTTGGGAATTGTTTCTCATGGGGTCTTTAAAGGTTAGTGGCTGAACCTTCTTCCCCACTGACATGATTACCCTACAGGAAATTTTCTGTTCACTAAAAGATTGGCTTTAGAGGAACCCTCCTGGCTAGGCCTAATTTCTGAACCATGTTAGAAATTAAAGGGTTTACTTTAATTTCTACAAAGAGAAACATTTTGCATTTTGGTGTTGGAAATTACTTATTATATATGTTGTCCATAGTATTAAGACAATTATATTTTAGATTATAAAATGAGGGTCATAATCCCCATCTCACAAGGTTATTAAGTGGGTTAGTTAACATAAGCTTGAAACATATTAAGAATTCTATAGGGCCGGGCGCGGTGGCTCAAGCCTGTAATCCCAGCACTGTGGGAGGCCGAGGCGGGTGGATCATGAGGTCAAGAAATCGAGACCATCCTGGTCAACATGGTGAAACCCCGTTTCTACTAAAAATACAAAAAATTAGCTGGGCATGGTGGCGCGTGCCTGTAATCCCAGCGACTCAGGAGGCTGGGGCAGGAGAATTGCCTGAACCCGGGAGGCGGAGGTTGCGGTGAGCCGAGATCGCGCCATTGCACTCCAGCCTGGGTAACAAGAGTGAAACTCCGTCTCAAAAAAAAAAAAAAAAAAAAGAATTCTATAAAGGATTGGTGGAATTATTATTAAAAATTAAGACCTGCAGAGTACTCTTTACCACAAGAGATAAAGCTGATATACCAGGTTTTTGGAAGGCATTGGTTAAAGTAATTAAGCATTTTGAATATGCTTTTGTCCGGTCACCATGTTCCAGCGTCCAAATTATGCCAGATAATTTATAGTTTTACATACAAGTGAAGTGTCACTATAATTGGGTGGAGAACTAAGAGGAGAGAAAGCAGCCAAACTGATGCAAAACAAACAAAAATATTTTATTGTAACTTAAAATTCATCGCCTAGACAACAGATAATGCACACATTGGATGTTATTAGTAGATACAGTGAAGATGCCTTTGGACAATTATCAGCATTGATAAATGTGAAAGTGTCACATAAAAGTCAAACTTCTTCAGGTTATTGAGTTTCCTGAACATAGCATTGGCAAAAAGGAACTTTCATCACAACATGTAGTTTAGTTTTTTTGTTTTTTTTTTTTTAATGTCACTTATTTTATTTACTAACCTTGACAGGGACTAACAAATGAGGTACAGCAAACTTTCCAGAAGTCTGAGTGGACTTCTACACCAAGACACCCTGGAGCTCCATTATTGCATTACTGAGTAGAATGAACTGTTATGAAATTCTCCATACTCCAGGTTTACTACATAGAAAAGTACTATTTACCTACCTCAAAGAGGTGTTGTGAGGATCCATGTTTATAAAGTGCTTCAGGCGCCTTCAAAGAAAGGCAACATACAAGTATAAAATAATCGTCCATATTTCAAAAGAAATGAAAAGATGATTTTGGCACAATGGGAAGGGTGCCTCCTATTTAAAGAACACTTGGCTATTTGTTTATTAAAACCCCTGACCTCTTGGGTTTAAAATAATTATTATTTAGAAGAATAAATGTTTTTTCTATTGCCAATCTTATAAAAATTCTCAATCCAGGCTGTGCTATCAGAATCACTTGAAGAGCTCAATAAAAATATAGATGCTTGGGCAATAGCCCACACCAACAGAAATAAAAACTCTGCACATGATACCCAGGCACCAATATTTTCAAAAAGACCTATAGAGGATTTTGATGCATACCAAAGTCTGAAACCCATTTCTTTAGAAAAATATATCAATATATTAAAAATTGGAGTTTATTTCAAGGACATTTTCCTTAATGTTAAATGCAGTCAGATAAGGGTATGAATTGCTTTCTGGTTTTTTTTTTTTTTTTTTTTTTTTTTTTTTTGGGTATTTTTTTTTTTTTTTTTTTTTTTTTTTTTTTTTTTTTTTTTTTTTGAGACGGAGTCTCGCACTGTTGCCTGGGTTGCAGTGCAATGGGGTGATCTCAGCTCACTGCAACCTCTACCTCCTGGGTTTGCACAATTCTCCTGCCTCAGCCTCCCAAGTAGCTGGGATTACAGGCATACACCACCACACCAGGCTAATTTTTTTGTATTTTTTTTTAGTAGAGATGGGGTCTCACTATGTTGGCCAGACTTGAACTCCTGACCTCTTGATCCACATGCCTTGGCCTCCCAAAGTGCTGGGATCACAGGTGTGAGCCACTGTGCCCAGCCAAGGGTATGAATTTCTTATTGCCCTTTTCCCTTCCCATTTCCCATGGAGACTTAGAGCATGCATAACACACACACACACACACACACACACACACACACACACACACACTCACTTTTAGTTCTGCCCTTGATTTAAATTTGATAGTGGTAAAATCTGATGGTAGCAAATAAATGCTTCACCAGGAGGATATGCAAGAACTTGCAGCCCAACCCCACTGTGCCCAAAGCAAATGGACGGTTCCCATTTGCCAGAACGGAATGGTTGAGAAATGTGTTTCCAATTTGGAAACATGTAAAATTAGCACTTCCTGGGAAATATCAGCTGAGTGGATGCCGAGAAACAAAAGTGAGCAAGGTTAGAATGGCCAACCATACAGAAAGTCTACAGCGACTACTCCTCCATTGGGAGTTCACCTGCATCTCAGCAAACACCTTAGAAACTGAAACAGTTTATGCTCAGTGGGTACCAAACAATATGCAAGTACTTCAGGGAGGTAAATAAAATAGAATAATGAAAACTGGTGATTTTAAGTTAAAATAACTTTTTTTAAAAAATGACCAATTTGCTCTACTGCAATTCTTAAGGCTGTTTCAGTAACCATTTTAATTTCCTGGCTGGCTTGAAGTATTCTGTTTACTAGCAAGTCTAACATAGAGAAGAGAATGATTTCTTTCCTAGTGGGCTTCACACATATCTTATCATGATGCGTGCATCACTTTTAAAATAGGAGAGACCTCTTTACATGCCTCGCAGTGGCATGTAAATGGAGTCGGCAGAGAATTATACTTCTTTACAAAGAGAAAACCTTCTGAGGCTGGCCAAACTTTTTACAACATTAAGAACTAGTGAATAACAGCAAAACAGAATAGTCCCATTGAGGGTGCAGGGAGTGAAAAGAGCAAAAAATACATGAGATAGAGCCTACACATACACTACATAAAAAAATAGGGTATGTAAAAAATATAATAATTCATTCAAACTCAGCCACTGTGAAATTTTGCTATGAAAAATAGTCTTGACCCTAGAAAATTTGCTTGTGAATCTGTTAAAATATTGCTGCTATATGGTATAAAACAGCAAAAATAGTGTCTTCCAATATTCCTCTAAACATTAGAGGCAACTTTGTACAAGAAAGTGGTTGGAGCTGGCTTGGGGAGTTGCTTGTTGCATGTATCCCAATAGGGCAAGGCTGCCAGCAGCAGAATAAAACCTCCCAGCAGGACGCAGAAGCCACTAAAATAAAATGCAATGTCATAGGTCTGGGTCCAGTCATAAAACCAACCTGAAAAGACAGTAAGGAAAAAAAGTGAGTTTCATGGAAATAGTATGAACATCCAGCCCATACCCTAGTTTCATCAATTTTATATATGGTTATAATTAGGATATATATTACTCTACTGCTTCCAATGTGGTTTACTGGGAGTTAGAAGAAGAGAATCTCTCAAATATTTGGGTAAGAATAAGCAGGCATTTTGAGTTTCTCTCAAATAAAGAGTGATCACAAATCCCAGAGCATGCATATTGGCTTTCTCAATTACATCAAAGCAGTCTTGAATAAATCATTACCATGAGATGTTCCATGCAAATTTATTTTGTACAAATTTGTGCCACTATTACAATCTGGATTTTTGTATCTGGAGATGTGACAAGGAAGAACAGCAAAATGGGTTGACTTTAAGATAAATATCTTACCAACAATGGGTGGTCCAAGGCTATTTCCAAGTCCAGCAAAGAACATTAATATCCCATAGGCATGGGCTAATTTTTCAATTCCCACAGTCTTCGTGGTCACATATGGGAAGATGGACCAATTACCAGTAAGAAACCCTAAGATACTAGAAAGCAATGCCAATGTGACATAGCTTTTGGCAAATGGAATTGCACACAAGGCCAGGCCCATGATGATTAAGGTAGCAACATAAAGATACAAGGTATTAATCCACTTGAAGTCAGCCAGTATCCCTAAAAGCAGTTTACCAACTGCTGTCATAATGCCTATAATTGAAATAAGTGGCATAATAAACTCTTCTTCTTTCACATTTGAACTTCTTGCTACATCTTCCATAAGTAACGAAGGTGGAAACCCTCCGATGTCAAAGAGTAAGATAGCAATGAAAAGTGCTGAAAATACTTTGTTTTTAAAAAGAGCCAGTGTTTCTCCACAGTAGTTTTTATATAACTGCCACTTCCTCTTGGCAAGCTGTTTGCAAAAATATGTCTGTTCTGCAACTTTCTTTTTGTACGTTTCAGGCTCTTTTGTGTGTGTCACTGTGGGGTTTTTATGAAGTAGGCTCTCCTGTTTCCAGTCACCATTGGCTAATGTGCTCTTGCATTTTTCCTCACTACTGTAGCTCTTGTCAAGAATGTTTATGTTTTCTTCCAGATTCTTTCCTTTTTCATTGTAAATGGAGTATCTATCTGGTAGATCTTCTGGAACTATTTTTTTAGGCAAAGGACAATCAGAAGAGTGGAGGGGTCTCATCAGACTGCCACAGGCTAATATATTTAAAGCTAAAGCACCCACAATCAGCAAGCATCCATCCAGTCCATAGAACTCAACCAGCATCCTCTGCAGAGCAGCATATATGAAAAGGCCAACGCTTGAACCTAAAAAGGGAACGGGAACTGTTCAACCTCGTAATCTGAGGGTCTCAGGATTAGAATTTGTAGTATCACAATTTAATTTATTTTTTACACTGGCATTTATATGTAACTTCATATTAAAATCATAGCAAGTTGATAGAAGATAATAATAGCAATACTGATAGAACATTTAAGAATTAGCATTTACAGCTCAGCCATTGTTAAGCACTTTACATTGAATGATCGTGTTTTATCCTTTTATTGATCCCTTTGAGTAGGTCCTATTATTATTCCTAATCTAGAGATGAAGTGACCTAGGGCTGGAATGGTTGAGAAATTTGCCATAGATCAAAAATCTGTAAAGAACATAAACAGGATTCACATTCAGTCAGTTGGACCCCAATAGCCCATATTCTTAACAAATGTCATCATGAAACTACTTTCTTTGCACTTATTATGTGCCAGGCTCCATGCTACATATTTATTCCCTTTGTATAAGTAAATTTTCATATTCTGCTTTTTAAGATAAATAATATATTGCAGTTTAAGGATTTTTACAATGATAGTTGAAATCCATTGCTGAATCACCACAATGAATGATTCACACTTTTCATGCATTAATACAATTATGAAAAAAGTAGAATTTTTTAGGGTATTTAAATTACAAAATATGCTGGTTTATGCATCTGTGCAACACTGTGAATAGTCCATCTTTTTAGCACTGATCACATTAAACACACAGGGATGCCAAGTTATGATAGCCTAATCAATTGGTACTGTTCTTATCTGGTTCTGATTTCAATCTTTAAAAAATTGAGGATTTTAAAATTTAAATGTCTGCTAGTGCAGAGAAGGCAAAAAAAAAAAAGAAAGAAAGAAAATAAAATTTAAATGTCATTGGGAAATATCATGTGAAAAAGCAGAAACAAATAGTCTAAAAAGGTTGATCATATGTTTAAAATGGTCAATATTAAATTACATCATAACCCCATCGGGATGCCAGTAGGACCAAGCTCAGAGGCATCACTGATTGCATGGATATGCTTGCTGTTAAAACCCATCTTGTAAAACAATTCTTACAAATAGTCAAATGGCTCCGCCTTAGAATTATAAGAAAACATTTTCTTTGGGACCTCAGTTGTCCCTTTCTTAACAGTTTTTAAAGTTAACTCCTTAATTCCCAAAGGAAAAAAAAAAACTTGGCATGCAAATATTAATGTCCCATGTTAATGTAATGGCAGCTAAAATAGTATCTTTTTGCGACTACTAAGAGTGTATCTATTTGCCAACTACTGAGAAGTAACAATAATAGACAAATGTAATTTTTTCCTTACCTCATTAAATGTGGCATATACCATAAAAGTTAAAACCGCTACAGAAAACACACTGACAGGATTAAAAATAGCAGAGTGACCTCATGTACTGTTGGCTGCATTAGTACCCATTAACTATAAATCTGTGACTTTTGCCTAACACAATTTCTTTGTACAGATTCTAACAAAGTGCCACATCATTAGATACTTAAAAATGCTCTTGGTGTTTGGAAAGCTCTATGTTTTCACATAGAACAAGTAAACAAATAAACAACTTTCCTATTCTTGCCAACCAGTTTTATCTGTCAACATGATGAAAATCAATTCAGATATTTATTGAACACATAAGATATGAGAGAGCAGGAAAAGCAAATTATATATCAGAGGCTAGTCTCCTCTGCCTTCATCCCACAAGAACATGTCTGTAGCTTAGAAAGATGCAGGATTTTTTTTTTCAGGGTAATCAAGATTAATTTAGAGTTTCCAGGCAGAATTTTGTAAACTGTAAAACTGTGATTTTTTTAAAAAATTTATTTTATTTTAAGTTCCAGGATACATGTGCAGGATGTGCAGGCTTGTTACATAGGTAACAAACCAACATGGTGCCATGGTGGTTTGCTGCACCTATCAACCCATTACCTAGGTGTTAAGCCAGTATGCATTAGCTAAACGTAATTTTTAATCTTCAGAAACGGCATCCTAATTTTAAGATAGTCACTGTAAAGGGTAAAGTGAAATAAAACACTAATTATGCTTCCATGCATGTTATAGATTATTACAAAGAGAGAAAATATTAAATGGTGTTCTGGAATCTGAAGCAGTGAGAGGTACAGCCATGCTTTGATTAACTTATTAGTACCAGGTGTCAACAACTGCTGGTAAGGATCAGAGAGTAAATATTTAAGGCATAGAGGGCTGTGTAATCTCTGTCCCAAATACTCAGCTCTGCCCTTGAAGCATAAAACCAGCCAGAGACAATCCATAAAGAAATGAGCATGGCTGTGTTATAATAAAATTGTATTTATGAACATTGAAATGAAAATTGCACATACTTTTCACATATTATGAATATTCTTCTTTTGATTTTTTCAAGCATTTACAAATGTAAAAACCATTGTTGACTTGTTAATCATACACAAACCAGCAGTAGACCAGATTTGGCCCATGGGCATTTGCTGACCAACCCCTGTTCACAAGGAGGAAGATCGCTTCCCCCAAATCTTCACTTCATGCCCACATTCCTTTTTTTCAACTAGGTCACAATATTTCAAGTATTTTGATGTGGGGTTTCTTTTTAATTTTTAAAAAGATCTGCTGTGACTTTGTTTTGCTTATCATATCTTTCACTGAAGGTGGGTTCACACTTCTCCCTAATTTCCCTTCACCTAGCTCCCTGTGAGTTGAAACTGAAAACTCCTTTAAATCTTGACTGTCCATAGTTGCTTCACTTTGTACTTAGTGTGCTATGACCCAGGCCCCTGTGCCCTTCTCTCATGACTGAGTGAAAAGCAGGGTCATCTTTCACATCATACAATTCCCAACACCTTCAACACAAATAAATTTGGACATTAGAGAAACCTAGGGCAGATTATAACTGCTAACGCTTGACAGCCCTTGTCATGTGCCTTACATATACATCCCTTTCATATTTCCAATAACCCAATGTGATGGGTACTATTTGTAAGTTAAAAATAAAATTCTAGTGGGGTGCGGTGGCTCATGCCTGTAATCCTAGCACTTTGGGAGGCTGAGGTGGGTGGATTACCTGAGGTCAGGAGTTCGAGACCAGCCTGACCAATATGGTGAAATCCTGTCTTAGAAAAAATATATATATATAAATAAAAATAAAATAAAATTCTAAGCCATCCAGCCAGCTGACAGACCCTCCCCTTGGCCAAGGGTATTCTGAAGTAAACCTGAAAAACTAGTTCAGGCCATGATGAGGTCAGCAGGATTGCGGCTGGACATGCCTCATTATACTCTCCCCTCTTTGGAATTCAGACACAGCTGACCAATATTAGCATTAAAACAGATACCTTAAGACTGACAGAACAGACTCTTTATAAGTCTGTTAAGAAATGCTCCCTAGGCCGGGCGCGGTGGCTCAAGCCTGTAATCCCAGCGCTTTGGGAGGCCGAGGCGGGTGGATCACGAGGTCAAGAGATCGAGACCATCCTGGTCAACACGGTGAAACCCCGTCTCTACTAAAAAACTACAAAAAATTAGCTGGGCATGGTGGCGCGTGCCTGTAATCCCAGCTACTCAGGAGGCTGAGGCAGGAGAATTGCCTGAACCCAGGAGGCGGAGGTTGCGGTGAGCCGAGATCGCGCCATTGCACTCCAGCCTGGGTAACAAGAGCGAAACTCCGTCTCAAAAAAAAAAAAAAAAAAAAAGAAATGCTCCCTTCTATTGATTCTATCTGCATAATGGGAAACTTGGTCTCCACGACCCCTTTTCTTAACCCAAACATTCTCTTCTATTGATTCTAGGTCTTTAGACAATAACTTAAACCTTTCAACTAACTGCCAATTAAAAAATTCTTGAATCCACCCACGACCTGGAAGCCTGTTTCCAGTTGTCCTGCCTTTGCAGACCAAACCAATGTACAACTTACATGTACTGATAGATGTCTTATGTCTCCCTAAAATACGTACAATCGAGTTTAGCCTGACCACCTGAGACAGGATCTCAGGGACTGTGTCACAGGCCATTTGTTATTTGGCTCAGAATAGATCTCTTTAAGTATTTTATAGAGTTTGACTCTTTTCATCAACAAATTATTATCCCCATTTTATAGTTACAAAATGGAGGCACAGAACAGTTAAGTAACTAACACCAGATAGCTAGTGAGTGACAGAAGGAGGATTCAAATCCAGGCAGTGTGGATCCAGGGTTGTGCTTCTCACTCGACATCATACTGCCTCTACAAAAATACAGTACAGGTGAGACTCACTGTCCTTGAAGCTGCCATGCCTGCTCTCACAGTACTTCTCACACTTGGGGAAGATCCTCACAGGTTCTCCAAACTGCATTCCAACTACTCTGGATTCCTCATCTTCTGCTTTTGCATTCCTTCTCCCATCACTGCCTTAGCCATGTCCTCGAACTCTGGCCTTGTCTCCTACACCACTATTCACACTTCTCACCTGGCAGTGCTTCTTAAACTATGGTGGGTAAATATCCAGCTGGATTTAATTCAACAACGAATCACTTTGTTGTTACTCTATGGCCTCAGGAACAAAATATTAGTTTGGATCCTGTTGCCAGAATAACTACCGACATTCTTCAGCCTATCTAAAAGCCTGACCTTCCAGAGTTACCCACCTACCAGCAAGGAACATATGTTCATTTACAACTTTTGATAACTTGGCAACTCTATGTCCTAAAAAACTCTGAAAATGTTGGCTACATAAATTTTGATAAGAACCCTATATAACTTTATATATATATATATATATATATATATATATATATATATATAGAGAGAGAGAGAGAGAGAGAGAGAGAGAGAGAGAGAGAAAATGTGGCACGTATACACCATGGAATACTATGCAGCCATAAAAAAGAATGAGTTAATGTCCTTTGCAGGGACATGGATGAAGCTGGAAACCATCATTCTCAGCAAACTAACACAGGAACAGAAAAACCAAACACCACGTTTTCACTCATAAGTGGGATTGAACAATGGGAACAATGGGCACAGGGAGGGGAACATCACATACCTGGGACTGTTGTGGGGGGGAGCAAGGGGAAGGATAGCATTAGAAGAAATACCTTGTGTAAATGACAGGTTGATGGGTGCAGCAAACTACCATGGCACATGTGTAACTATGTAATAAACCTGCACATTCTGCACATGTATCCCAGAACTTAAACTATAATAATAATAATAATAAAACAGTAACAAAACGGTTCACTTTGGACTTTCAGGGAACAAATACAATGGCAGGAAAAAACAGCTTTTTAAAAAATATCTAAAGACAAGTTTTCAAGTTTTGTGGTCATTTAAATTTAAGTTTCTAAAAGTGCTTTGACAATCATAGGTGTCCCTGTAAAAATCTATTAATGTAATGCTAAATATCTGTTTACAGTTTTAGAATAGAAAAGCTATATATTTTAGAAAACATCCCATATAAGACATTAAAAAATTATAATGTAAAATATTAAAAAGAAAGGAAAGCCACTCCCATATTTACGACATAAAATAAACTTTCCTTCTAGAAATAAAAAAAAAAACATTTTGCTACCTGATCGGTAGCTGAATAATGGTTGGTTAAACATGTCCGCACTTGGTAACTTTTTATTTTGTTTAGAAGACTGAATGGTGACAATACTGTACTAATTTTGAAAATGTACCTGTTGAAATCAGGCCAAGTGCAAGGCCTCGGCGATCGTCAAAATACTGGCACGTAATGGTCACTGTTGCAGTGTATAATAAGCCACATCCAAGACCTAAGCATGAGAAGACATTGCATAAATTAAGACACTGTATTAGTTCAATGCAAGAGAAAAAAGTATGTCCAGTAGGACATTCCATTACTCACTGGTTAAAACTGTTAGAAGTGCAGACTCCTAGATTCCTTCCATGTGTGTAGCCCCAATAGACACAGTGGGCAGCCTCATTCTTCACCCCACACCCACCTTAAGGTAAGGTCAAGTAAAAAAGCATCCAATGTCTAAACCATGAATGAATAATGCAAATGTAAAATAAGGCATTATGGAGAGAGAGAAAAAATGGCTAAATTCACATACCAAATAGCAAATTTAATCAAATTTGCCCCTTAGAGGTTTACGCCTCTTCCAAGTCCTTGCTGCCAGCTCAGTGTTCGTCCTCTTCTACATTCTCTAAACAACTTTTAAAAGTATTTTGTTAGAGTTTAGTCTGCACACCGCAGTCTGCAAAATGAAGGTTCTCAGGCAAGTCCTGTGGGGTTCTCAGATCACCTCATCATAGTGAAATTTATATTTGTCTTTATCTTTTAGGAGTGCATATTACCTTATTTAGAAGTAAAATGTAGTGATGTCTTTACTTTAAAATACTTTCACCAAAAAAAGGAAGCACATACAACAAGATATTGACAACTATTGGTGAGCATATGGTTGTTTGCTATACTATTCTCCGCTTTTCTGTAAATATGAAATTATTTTATAATTAACAACAACAAAAAAAATCTTAAAACTAAATTTCTCTTCCTGAATCCCAAAAGTAATATTTATCTCCAGATCATCTCCAGGGCTCTCATTTGTTAGCTTAATATTTTCGTCCCTTCTAAGTATCTGACAACCCGCTTGTTTTCATATAATTCTCCTTTGCCCTCACTCGTATACTTTATGCCTTTCTTCTGCAACATTATCTGTTCTTCATCATCACTCTAAAACAACACATAAGCCATAGTCTAAAAACTGAATTAACTATGGCCTATTACATGAATTATTAAGATCATTTTCATTACTTAAAATAGCTACCTGGACTATGATTTAAAAGAATACATGAGTTTAACAAATATCCTACATAAACATTGTAGGAAATCAGCACTTAGTCCAGGACTCAGAGGATCATCCATGACTGCATACATCAGAGTCTTATTAATGAAATGAGATAGATTAAGACAATCAGACTTTAAATAACCATTTAAAAATAGAGTGCCCTTTTATGTCATTCATAAGGAAAAAATGCTATCTCAAAATCTAAAACATGAGTTGGATTAATTTATACAGGTGTCATTACTACAGAGAGGACACTTCAAGACATGAAATAAAAACTGTTTCTAACCAATCAGCTTTGTGAAGCCAAAAAATGTCACCCTTAATTAAGACTATCTCTGAAAAGCTTTGGAGGGGGCTTTAGTGTAAATAATGCAAATTGACATTTGCATTATTCATTCATGTTTTCCGTGATTTCGTAGTCAGAGCTATGTCAAATGTTAAGCATCAAAGAAATGAAAAAAAGACATTTCAGATTACTAAGTATTAATGCCAAAAAAGTTGAAACAACTTTTAAACTTTTAATCTTATACTAAAATGAATTTTTAAAAATGATTTAAAGACTACAGGGTTCAGATAAGATTACTTCACTTTTTTTTAATGTAGCAGAAACCTGAAATGCATTTACTTTAAATTTGTCAGAAAGCAAAAGGTGAGGCCAGGCACAGTGGCTCATGCCTGCAATCCCAGCACTTTGGGAGGCTGAGGTGGAAGGATCATTTAAGGTCAGGAGTTTGAGATGAGCCTGGCCAACATGACAAAACACCATCTCTACTAAAAACACAAAAAATTAGCCGGGTACACAATGGCGCACAGTTGTAGTCTCAACTACTTAGGAGGCTGAGACAGGAGAATCACTTGAACCCTGTAGGTGGAGGTTGCAGCAAGCCAAGATCTTGCTACTGCACTCCAGCCTCGGCAACAGAGCAAGACTCTGTTTCAAAAAAAGAAAAAAAAAAAGAAAGACGGGCGCAGTGGCTCACGCCTATAATCCCAGCACTTTGGGGGGCCGAGGCGGGTGGATCATGAGGTCAAGAGATCGAGACCATCCTGGTCAACAAGGTGAAACCTCGTCTCTACTAAAAATACAAAAATTAGCTGGGCATGATGGTGCGTGCCTGTAGTCCTAGCTACTCGGGAGGCTGAGGCAGGAGAATTGCTTGAACCCAGGAGGCGGAGGTTGCGGTGAGCCGAGATCGTGCCATTGCACTCCAGTCTGGGCAACAACAGCAAAACTCCGTCTCAAAAAAAAAAAAAAAAGAAAAGAAAGCAAAAGGTGGCATGATACCTCTCTTCATCTGCTTCAGGACAACCTTAAACCAGCAGTTGCTAAAGAGAGGTCTGTGTATCTACAGTCCCTAAGATCTTTCAGGAAGTTAGTCAAGTCAAAACTATTTTCATAATAATACTGAGATGTTCTCTGCTTTTTTCACTATGTTCACATTTATGTGGATGGTATAAAAGGGATGGTGAGTAAAACTGCAAAAGCCTACCACAAACTAAGGTATTCCTGAGGAACTTTACACTTTATAGGCTTTACCACCACACCCTCACAGTAAAAATAAACACATTTGTTTTCCATGCTTCACCCAAATTACAGTAATTGCTGCAAGGATAAACACTTAAGTGACTGTTTTATAGCTAGCTAAAATAACCACTTTTAAAATATAACATCATTTTATTTGAAACAATGTCTGATAGACAAACTATGGTCGTTTAACCTTGGGTGTCTGGCTGATATTTTCTTGGGAATGAACCAGTGCTGGGAAACAACTGGCAGTAATTGTTACGAATGATAAAACTCATGTGTTCCAGCAAAAAAAACAAAAACAAAAACAAAAACACAGAATTTTAGAAAACTTGTATCTACCAGCATGCATTTGACAGTTTCCCAATCCATAAAGATTTCTTATGAGGTTTTTGGTAATACTAACCAAAGTAATGTTTTACAATGAAATATGTTAACATTTTTAAGTTCTTACGTAACTCAGCAAATTGGTATTTTTCAAATAACCAATGCATGAAGCTACAAAGTTAGGTTTGAATCAAGATATATTCAAAGCATGGAATAAATAAATGGATTTATGAAAACAGAGTATGAAAAGTATACTGATACAGTATCAGGTTCCTCATTGCAATTAATCCTTAGGAAACTATCACTTACCAAGTTTCAGTAGAGGAGTGTCTATAATTATTTGATAGGGCTATTAAACACTTTTCCCTTTTTTAATTACATCTTTGTGTGAGACCAGATTTTCTTCATATACTTTAATCAAGAAGCATATTGCAACATATTGAGTACAGAAGTAGATAGGAGAATACAGCTGCCTTCTATGAAACAAGACATTAAAGAGATTTGCAAACATGTAAAACAATGGCACTCTTCTCACCAAATTTTGTCTTGCTTTGGTAAAGACTTATTTTTCATAATAAATACTGTATTTATGCTAACATGTCCTGGATTTGTTATCTTGAAATGAATGACAAAACATATATTTTTCAATGTCTTATCTCTTAATACAGTACATTTTAATAGACTAAATCTAAGTATAATCCCCATAATCAAAAGCTTCTTGGTATTCCAAATAAAAGGATGTAAAGGGTCCCAAGATTAAACACTTTGGAAACCACTGCCTTAAAGCATTCCTTGGTCTCCAACCAGTTTGGATCAGACCCCTACCACTGAAAAAATTCTGTGTACCAACCTCAAGTAAAAGTATAACAATTTTAAAAGTAAATACTTGTATTACTGACAATTCACAGCATCAATATTAGTAAGGCATAATTGTTTCCCTTTTTTAAATGGTAAAAACTAAATGTATTTACATGTTGTAACATTTCTTTTCTACACTTTACTTTCTATTTCACACTTCTGGGTGAGACCACAACTTCAGAGGCCTCTTTCCAACCTCATCTCCTCTCATCAAAGCAGACATCAATCTCTTTATCATACCCACAGCCTAAATTATAAACCTCAATCTCTCTCAGCACTGACACTGCCTCAGTTCACCTCCTCATCTTTTATTACCTCATCTAAGGCCTCCTAATAGCAGTCTCAGCCTTCAGTACCTTTCTCGCCAATCTGTCTTCTAAACTGTTGTCATACAATTCTCATCATGTCATGCTCTTGCAATGAAGACCACATAAAACTGTTAGCATCTGGCCTGTTACACACCATGCTTTGACATATTTGCAACTCCCCACACCATCTGTGCATTCCTTAACAAGGGCATATAAAAAGACTGCTGTTTATTTATTCTATCTCCCAGGCTCTGAGTACTTAGGCTACTGAAATGTCCTCCTCAGGCCACTCCCACTCCCCTTCCAACCCATATCCACTTGAACCACATCCTGCCTGCTCTTCGAGACTCAGCTCAAGCATAAATTCAGCATGAAGCCTCCACTCTGTCTCCCCTGCACACACACATACATCGGCTTCATTTCATTATTACACTTAGTGTGCTGTGCTACAAGTTATATATTTTCAAGTCTATTCCAAAGGCACACAACTAGACAATTGGTTGTGTGCTTTTGGCAAAGTCATTTAAACTCTCTAATTCCTAGTTTCCTTATCTTTAAAACAATCTTGTAAGATCGCTGTAAAAACTAAGAGGCATAAAAAATATAAAGATGTAGTTTCTGTGCCTACACTATCGTAAGTACTAAAAAATAGCCATGATATTGGTATACTTCTTTTCATTTTTCACCTGAGTATTATGGCATTATGTAGATACTGCCTCAGACTACATTAAAAAATCATAGTACCTTACTACACCTGCGTATCCAGGACAGTTAAAAATTATCTTTGATTTTGTAACAGCTTTGAAGGGGGGGGGGGCTTGTAAAGCTCTAGTTCTCCTAAAATGGATATAAAGAAAATACCCTTTATCCCATCTGCCAGAATTAGAGTAGGAGAATCAGACTGTCTACAAACATGTTCTTTTCCCTCCCCAGTCTCAGTGGACTATGCAGACATTATTAAAAAATAGGTGATGGAGGAGGGTGGGGGGAAGAAAATGGAATTCTTCCAAAAATTAGGAAGGGAATATTAAGAAAACCATAAGCCAGGCACGGTGGCTCACACCTGTAATTCCAGCATTTTGGGAGGCTGAGGCGGGTGGACCACCTGAGGTCTGGAGTTTGAGACCAGCCTGACCAGCTGACCAATATGGAGAAACCCCATCTCTACTAAATATATATATAAAATATATTAAATTTATATATTTATATAAATTTATATATATATATATATTTATATCATTAAATTTAGGCTGAGGCAGGAGAACTGTTTGAACACGGGAGGCGGAGGTTGCAATGAGCTGGAATCATGCCATTGCACTCCAGCCTAGGCAACAAGAGCAAAACTTCATCTCAAAAAAAAAACAAAAACAAAAACATAATCAGGTAGCTAACTAACAATGTATTCTAAAGAAAAGAGAATGCAAGGACTTTTGAGTTGTGCTTTTCAGAAAAGCAAAAAGAAATTACTAGAAAGATGCTTGAGCAATTCATTACAGGCACGTTCCCTGCACCACCACCTCCTACCCACTTAATTTTCATCTCCCATTACACTGCCTTTTTCCAGATTTAGTAAAGTTACTGAGAAAACAGGAGCCTCAATCACCAGATTTGGCCATGTGGCTTACAATCACTTGCCAATACATAAAGATTTCCAGTGAGCTTGTTGGTAATATTAACCAAAGTGATGTTTTACAATAAAATGTGTTAATATTTTTAAGTTCTTACATAGCTCAGCTAACCAATATTTTTCAAATAGCCAATGCATGATGCTACAAAATCAGGTTTGAATGAAGATCTATTTAAAGTACAGAATAAACAGAGGCCGGACGCGGTGGCTCATGCCTGTAATCCCAGCAGTTTGGGAGGCCAAGACAGCTGATCACCCGAGGTCAGAAGCTTAAGACCAGCCTGGCCAACATGGCGAAACCCCATCTCTACTAAAAATACAAAAATGAGCTAGGCATGGTGGTGCACTCCCGTAGGCTCAGCTTAGTTGGGAGGCTGAGGCAGGAGAATCACTTGAACCCATGAGGCGGAGACTCCATCTCAAAAACAACAACAACAATGACAACAACAAAGTAGAGAATAAACAAGTGGATTTACTGTAACAGAGCACAAAAGTTATACTGATATGGTATCAGGTTCCTCATTGCAATTAATCCTGCAATCTGACAAGTTGGTACAGGTTTTCATTTGAGCTATAACAACCTAAACAAAATTACATCATATTTTCAAATTGATAGTTTTGTAAAGATCAATTAAATGGTAAACAGAATTATCCCAATTAATACACTTTTAGTATTCTTTTGACATTTTAAGTTGTAATATCCAATTTAAATAATTTCTTTTTCTATATTTTTAAATCTCTTATACAAATATTTCTGATCCAACAGAGCTTCTTCAGTAGCCAAAAACTGCTGCTATACAGATCAGAAAGAAATTTAAGGAGAAAGGAATAAATGTGTATTAAACATCTCTGTATGCCTCTTTATAAACATCATCTCATCAATAGTCACAATACCTCTGTGAACTCATATCAGTGCCACTTTATAAAAAAATAAAAATGGAAGCTCAGAGAGGCTGAATAATTTTTCAAGGTCACAAATGAATGACAATTGTTTATGCTTAACATTCATTGCATTATGTCACTCATCTTCATAAACTGCTATAAGGGCTATTATTATGCTCGGTTGAAAAATGAGAAAACAGAAGTTACAAAACATGTTTACAGTCACACAGATGGCAAGTGAATAAAAGAAGGCTAACCCACATGGTCCAACCCCAGAGCCTGCCTGCTAGTCAGTGTCTGATCTTTCCCTTGGACATACTCACTAGCTTGAGAGGCCATCTAGTTCATTCCAGACAAATGAAAGTCCTTAGGATATGATTCCGCACAGAATTGCATCTTATAAATGTTACCATAAGACTGAACCCTTGTTTTTCTGAAGAGTTCACAATACAGAAATGAGATTAATTTAGACTGTGTAATAATTTCTGTCACTTTCTTCTCAATTTGATACTCTACTTCAAATGGTAACAGAATGAAAGTGCCAATGTTCATTATTATCCCATTTATTTATCCCGCAAACATTCCACGAGCTCTCTACCATGAGCCTACTGATGAAATAAAACTGCAAGGAAATCAACAATGGTGGTAAATATTGATAATTCACCAGCAAGCAGTCACTCACAGGTCCCCAATAAGTGCCATGGTGAGCATTTTTTTTATTAATTGAAATCTAACTCAACTCTTCATTTTATTGTTATCTTGCTTGACATCATTTAGTCCTCACAAGACCCATATGAGATAGGTTTCTTAGCCTGCCTTCACAGATGAGGGAGGATACAGACATTCGTGGAGATTAAGGAGCTTGCTCAAGCTCACAGAACCTGTGTCTGCTGACCTGAAGTCCAGTGCTCCCTCCATGAGCTGACGGTTTCCTCGTAGTCACTGATAATCAGAACCTATTGCCAAATCAGAGCCATATACGACCTCAGACTTGAGCGTGTTTTCTGACAGGGAATCCACTAACTGAAGGAAAGACCAGGACTCTAGGAGGAAGGACATTGCAACGAACATGACGACAAGTTTGTATATATGGAATGAAACCTGAGTCTTTCCCCAAAGAGAACTAGGGCCATCTATTTAGGTAACCATACACTGAGGAAAGTAAAATACATTTTGAACATTGTTGTTAGAGACACGAAGAGTCTGCATGGCTTCCCCTTAGAGTGGGCTTACATGGGGGCAGGTGACATATGGAATTACGCCCCAACTGCCCAGTCAATGGTCCTTTCTTCAGTCCCTGATATTTAATTATAGCACACACACACAATAGCTGGTAGAACTCCATACACTGTTCTTTGGTTTCTTGGCCTAAACAGTAAGAGTTCTTGCTCCCCACAATGCCATCGTAGTGAGGAAAGTCAAGTGGAAGTCCTGTGACTCCACCATCAGTAGCAACAGCCAAGGGTGTAAGCCCAAACCACTATCAAATCCCATCTAAATGGACTACTGAGTGTCCATCTCTATGTGTCACACCAAGTCTCCTCACTTTGTTAATTTACTTTGTAATATTTTTACTTCTCTGAGCTTCACTTTCCCTCTCTGTAAAATGGGTTTTTGTGAAGAGGAAATGAGATCATATAAAGCATTTAGCAGAGTCCCTAGCACATGATAAGTACTCGGTGAATGTTAGTTGCTGCATTTTCTATTATTTATTATTGAAGAAATATTTCCAAGCAGAAAAGAGGAACATTGGTAGTCAACAAAATTAGCTCTTTTCAGGCATTAAGAAAAAACTTGAAAACTAGAGGTCATCTTTTTCTAAGGCCCCACCAACTGCTCCTAGAAATACCAAGTCTGGTGATTTTTAACACTGAACACAGTTAGTGTAATGACACGATAAGGATATCTTCCCAAATTATCAGTACTCTAAGGCCCTGAGCCTCCTATGCTTTCCTCCCCTGTAACCAGTATCATCCCATCACTAAGCTTTCTTCGCTCACATCTTAGCTCTAAAAAAAAAAAAAATAGTACTACTAATACATGCTTTCAGATTGACTTTTTACCTGTGCTGTGACTTTTGACTTGGGCCCACAGCAACAGATGCTATGGAATGCAAACAGCTGTTTTTGTGAGCAAAAACAGCTTCAAAGAATCATGCTTTATTGCCCAACAGGAAAAGGGCCACTTTATAATTTAGTGAGAAGTGACCAATGTCAACAACATCCAAGTTTTATGTTCCCCTTCTCTCACTTTTCCTTTCAGTGCTATAGAGAGACAAGGGCTGAGATGAAAAACTTACCTGTGCCTTGCAAGGAGACACGGTATGGGTTGTTGGTCCTTTCAAACATTTTGATTCACTGGGCAGGATTTTTTTTTAACTAAAGCAACAATTTTTGGAGAAGTGGTCATTGAAAGTAAATTATTAGCGAGCTTTTTCACTCCTTTACGTTAAATGAATCATAAACCTGGTACTGGTGAAATGATGTGTCACTCTTGAAGGTTAGGAATGTCACAGTGACAAGGTTCCTTACCTACAACAATGCCATAGGAAAAAAATAGAAAATAGATATTGGGAGCAAAACTGCTCAACATCAAGCCTCCAGCCACCATGAAGCCACTGAAGATTGTGACGGTTCTTGCTCCAAAAGATGAGACACAGAGGCTGCAGACAGGACCTAAAAAAAGAAATGAAACCTTCACTTATTATCATATGATCCACCCATCATAAGTTCAAAATGATTCTTTCCGTCATAAAACAACAACAAAAATAAACATCCACTGAGTATTTACGATGTGAGACAGTTCACGTGAACAATCTCATCTCATTTTAATGTTACTGCAGCTTTGGGAGGTGGATACTATTGTTAGTCCCATTCTTTTTTATAATGAAATGCAAGGATGATGAGATCACATAGTTAAGAAATGGGGGTTCTGAAGTCAGATTTTATTCAAATTCTAGCCCTACTACTTGGTAGCTGTTTGGTCTTGGGCAAATTATTTCATCATTCTGTGCCTTAGTTTCCTCATCTGAAAATGGGAATGATAATAGTACCCACCTTATAGTGTTACTGTGCTCTGCTAACTAACAGGCCGAAAGGACCATCACCTGGAATTGTTCTATGCATAAACGGGCAACTGCTCATGTAACAGAATTTAAGTGATAGTGAAATTCTTTCCTACTAGGACTGTACCCAGAACTACAGAACTTAATGTACTAGAAGTAAAAGGATGTTAAGGGTTATTTAGCCCAATAGTCTCATTTAACATGGAAGGAAACTGAGGCTCAAAGAAGCTATTTAAGTCTACAGTAGAAGAAAGACTAAGGATTTGGAAGCAAAGAGAAGTATATCTGAACTGAGTTGACAACCTTTCAAGCTATGATCTTCAATTTTCAAACACCATACCTACCGGAATGGTAAAGACAGGCAATACTGTTAGCAAGAAAGTGGTATGAACAGAACACTCACACACTGCTGGTAGTGTTCACTAAAGCTGACACAGCATGCTGTAAAATCCAGAAGTTCCAATTCTATGTATATACCCCACAGAAACACCCAGATAAACACCTAACTACAGAAACAAGCGAAACTAATGTGTGTTAGAAGTCAGGATACTGGCTATCTGTAGTAGGGGCTGGGGAGTTAAAATCAGAAGAGAGCAAAGCCAAACTTCCAGGGCACTGCTCATGTTCTGGTCCTTGGTGTGAATGTGCTGATTACATGAGTATGTTCAGTTCATGAACATTAATGGAGCTCTACTGTCATGATACATACACTTTTCTGTATGTTTGTGTCTTTTACTCCTTTTTGAAGCAACCTCGGAGAAACAATGGAATCCATCATAGTCTCACTATTCATAAATGACAGAGAGGCAGGATCCTATAACTGAGGCACTATGTTCTTCCCAATACCTGAGAACTTCTTTTTCTTTCTTTTTTTTTTTTTTTTTGAGACAGAGTTTCACTCTTGTTACCCAGGCTGGAGTGCAATGGCGCGATCTCAGCTCACCGCAACCTCCACCTCCTGGGTTCAGGCAATTCTCCTGCCTCAGCCTCCTGAGTAGCTGGGATTACAGGCACACGCCACCATGCCCAGCTAATTTTTTGCAGTTTTAGTAGAGACGGGGTTTCACCATGTTGACCAGGATGGTCTCGATCTCTTGACCTCTTGATCCACCCGCCTCGGCCTCCCACAGTGCTGGGATTACAGGCGTGAGCCACCGCGCCCGGCCCTGAGAACTTCTTAAACACATATTTAAGACCAGTTTATGGCCCCTGAGATATACTGAGACCATAGCGCCCGGTGCTTAAGGCTCTCCCACATGCCTTCCTGGTCAAGAACTGGACCCTCCCATTTTCAGGCCCTCGTGTGAGCCAGTGCAGAAGAGGAGACTGGCACATTTACATGACAAACAGAGGGAAATATTCTGTGCCAGTGTTTTAAAAGGAAAATCCATTTGAAAGACCAAACTTATCATCCAGTACAATGAGAAATACTTAGATACTTCAAAAATAGAAACAGTTTTCAGAGTCTAATTTTACAAACGGATGTCTGACAGCATAAACATGACCCTTCTCTGTTGTTACCAAATCATGTTGACACTGAATGTAAGTTTTCACAAATTTTACAACACAATGCAATTTTAAAACACACAGAGATTATTCCTGGCATGCTTGAAAAGTTTCAAGTTTCATCCTCAAAATGGGACTTTAACTCTTTGCTCCTTAATACATGTTAATTCCACAGGGAAACCTCAGAGCCTGGGAGTCTCAGGGCAAGATGAAGGGGTAATTTTCATAGCATGTACAACCAAAGCCACTGTTGTATGAAATATGCAGCATTGTTATCAACTATATAATAAATTCTCAAGTCATTTTTTGGCCTAACAAATGATTTTTTTGAAAAACAATTCAAGTGTTAAGGAAAAAAATGAACAGAAATTCTCTTACAGGTGAACAGCAAATTGAAAGAGGTTTTAAAAGTTCTCTACTTTTACACTGCCATCTGCTGCTGATTTAGAGAACTATATCATTAGATCAGAGATTAAAGACAAAAAAATTTAGAGCTGAAATTTTGGAAGTTGGAAAACGTCCAAATACCTCAATTTAAAAATGGTGAAACTGGAATTCAGAAAGATCATGTGATTTGAGCAAGAGTCCATAGCTAGCCAATGACAGGCTAAGGCCAAAGTCAGCCCAGCATTCTTCCCGACTGAGAAATATTTCAATTGGGATCTTAATTTTTGCTTAGAAATCAAATTAGTAGTAAAGAACATCAGTGTACTGTTAGAGTAGATAGTTAGGCAGACATGAGCGGGGCAGGAGAGCCCTCGCCCCACCCAAGAATTTCAAGTAACCATCAGGTGATGGTCAGGTGTTTATTAAACTGTTTCTCTGAAATGGTAATTGGCCACAGCCAACACCAGCGGAAGACAGTCTCCCAGTGGACAGAAAACACCTGGAGCTGGTGATCAGCGGCTTCCCAATAAGATCTCAGGAGTTGAGCAAGTGGGGCATGCTCACTAAGAGGGAAAATGGTGGATGTACGGCCTTCCTCTGGGGGCATTTGACTGGTTAAGAAAAATTGCCCCTAGGGAGCATGAGCACAACCTAAGTAAACACACTACGCATGTGGTCACCCTCCCAAATGACCAACGCCACACATGCAACAGTTGAGCAACAGCCAACCACAAGGGAAGAAGAATCAAGAGAGAAGAAAAAAACCCAGAACCATGTCAGCTTATAAAACCTGAAGTCAAGGACTGAATGGGGCATTTGGATCTCTCAAGTGGCCCACATGGCCCTCTTCCAAGTGTACTTTACCTCCTTTCAGTCCTGCTCCAAAATGTTTTAATAAACTTTCACTCCTGCTCTAAAACTTGCCTTGGTCTCTTTCTCTGCTTTAAACTCATTTCTGCCCCTTGGCTGAATTCTTTCCTCCAGGGAAGCAAGGATCAAGTTTGCTGCAGACCTGTAAGGATTCACCAGTGGCAATAGTACTTTTGTTGATGTCTTATAGATAACATAGTTTTGTGAACTTATGTTAGATGAAAACATAAAATTTATAATCATTTGGTGTTCAGTAGTTTAGAGCAAATTATTTTACCCTTATCCTGAGAACCTGGTTTATTTATAGATTCTATTTCAATAGATTTAAAACACAATAGTCGTATGTTTCATCAATAACAAGGCAAAATATATCAAAGTGACCATCAAGTCACATCTGCAAAATGTGATACATTTATGTGTTTAGCTCTTTGCAGTAACAGTGCAAGGCCTTCAAGATGATAAATCATGTATTATTCCTCAGCACTGGATGAGTTTCAAGAGACAGATTAAATCAAAGGGCTACTCTCAGGAGATTTCTTATGAGGCAAAATGAAAACTTTGCGGAAGGGAACTTTAGAACCAAAGTTAATTTACCTATGACATGAACCAGTGATTCCACACCTTTGGACCTGAACAATTTTAGGGGGAAAAAGGGGGGTGGAAAGGGGAGGGGGCTGCTAATTTTTTATCTTCACAAAACATTTTGAAAATATAATAACTGGCTGGGCATGGTGGCTCATGCCTGTAATCCCAGCACTTTGTGAGGCAGAGCCAAGTGGAACACCTGAGGTCGGGAGTTCAAGACCAGCCTGACCCACGTGGCAAAATCCCATCTGCATTAAAAATACAAAATTAGCCAGGCATGGTGGTGCATGCTGGTAATCCCAGCTACTCAGTAGGCTAGGGCAAAAGAATTACTTGAACCCGGGAAGTACTGTAGAGATTGCAGTGAGCTGGAGCTTGGATCATGCCACTACACACTAGCCTGGGCAATGAGCAAAACCCTGTCTCAAAAAAAAAAAAGTGTAATAATCATCTATGATTACCACTGCTTAATTAGAGAAGAAGAAATATTTTAATAAGCAAAAAGTGAGAAGGATGTACTTTCAGAATAAAATATAAGACAGTAAGAAGATAACGGGAACTTCAGACACACACACACTCACACATTCCATCTATCATTCCCTTTATAATCATTTGCCTTTGGTGAAAGCTTTTCCTGAACTTACCATTGCCTGTGTATTGGTGTTCAAGAACCAATATTATTATTGTCAGTATTGGTGTTTAAAAGTCACTATTGCCTCAGCCTCCCAAGTTACCACTACTCCTGGCTAATTAAAAAAAAAAAATTATAGAAACAGGGTCTCATTATGTTGCCCAGGCTGGTCCCAAACCCCTGGTCTCAAGTGATCCTCCTGCCTCAGCCTTCCAAAGCTCTAAGATTTATAGGCATGAGCCACTAGCCCAGCCCAGTGTGTATTTTTTATACCTACAGCTTATCTAAACTGGAATGAGCCACATTTCAGGTGCTCAATAGCCGCATGTGTCCACTGTATTGGACAGCACAGTACTAGAGTCTCATATCATGTTAGAAGAGGACACAGAGAAATCAAACACAATTCAGGAACCAGAAAAGAGGCAAAAGAAACTCGCATCAAGGTTTAAAATAAACCCAAGGCCAGAAGCACCAAAAGAAAGGTTCAGATGGCTTGTTTGGGGATTTCATAAGAGGGAAAACAACCAAGGTGACGGAACTAAGCCTTGCACTAGGCTACCAAGTAAGGTTATCTCAACAAAAGGAATGAACATGTATTCTAAATGGAGGAAATAGAAACATAGTGTGATTTT